GGGTTGTCAAAACAGAAAACACGTATGAAGGCTCTAACGTTGAAAAGGAGCATTAAACATAGGATGTGCAATACTGATTGGGCGTTTACTAAGTAGCTGGCACAGTTTTAAGTACTGTAGGGTATTTTATTATAACAGATGGAGAAATTTAGGCAGAACATGATTAAACAGCTTATTCAAGGTTGCACAGAGTGTAAGCGACTGCAGGCAGTCTGGCTCCAAGAACCGGGTGACAAAGAGGCTCTGGGAAGAGTTGTGGGGCTGGGGGATAAAGATGGAGAGGAAGGCGGGGGCCAGGCATGCAGACCATATTCAAGATTCTGAACAAGAGTGTGCAGATTCAAGGAAGTTAAGGCGAGGACAGGCAGGATCACGTTTACATTTTTCAAAGTTCCCCTCCAGTGTACTATGGACAACAGATCACGTGGGGCCAGTGTGGATTCAGGGAGACCTGTGTGGATGATATCATAGCGGGTGACCCCTGTGAGAGATGATGTAGTTGCTGGGGCCTGCACCAGGAGAGTGGCTAGGGCTGGGGGCATGTGGCAGATGTCCCAAAGATTAACTTGAGTTAAAATTCCCAATTAAAGAATAAGCAGTGTACAGGGAATCGAATCGGATGAATTTGCAAGGAACAATCTCCTTTTAAAACATTGTTTTCATCTTGTTTATAGGGGTCATAGCCATATTTCTAGAGAACTGAAAAAGCTTTATAGACCCACGTTATGATACATATTCCATGCAGTAGGGAACAGAATCTGTTTCTTGGCTTCCAGTTCAGGACTCTGAGAATTAAGTCGCATTAACAGCACCTCAGGTATTTCCAAAAATTCAAATTGCCAAAAACTTTTTGTCCAAGGCATGGAGGATGAAGAACACTCAGAATTAATAAGCTACTTCCAATAAACTGGTTGGCACTTAAACCAGAGAAGCCAGTGGTGGTCACCTTGTTGAAACCTGTTACCAGTCTCCCTGCCCTGAAAACCTCAGACACTCAGCTCTCCCAACACTCAACTCTCCCACAGTAAACGAAATTCAGAGAAACTGGATATCTTGCAGAATGCAGGTTCTGAAAATTAATAGTTCACGCCAAAATAAAGGAAAATTTGAGTTTTTAGGCCCAATCAAGTGAGTGAGGGAGTGTCTGTATATCCTTTAGTTTGGAGAGGAAAGATTATGCTGGAGAAGACTTTGTTTTTCATCCTTTCCTCTTCATAATATGTGAATGATTTGATACTTAGATCTGAGCTGTTATCAGGTAACGGTTCAATTACATAAACCTACATAATTTATGTGATCATTCTAATAACCATAAATGGTTTTTTTTTACAGTTACTGTTTATGTTCTAGCAGATCAGATTGGCTATCTTTAATACTGCTCTTTAGTAGTCTTTGAACATATAAAATTTTTTAAGTATATTTCTTTCTTGAGAAACAAACTTCCATTGGGAAACCTTCACAGTAGTTATTCCCTTCTCTCATTCACATCCACTGATTTTTTAAGTCAAAGACAGCCAATGGTGTTTTTAAACCTGTGGAATTGGATTTTTTAAAACCACTCCTGCATTATGGATCCCTCTCCAAGCAAAAAAACTTTATTGCCAATGGAACTAAGCATATCAGCCAGTCTAAAATCACTTTTAAAAGTTATAATAAATCTTTAAATTGCATTCAGGCTCCTCTGTCCATGGGGATTCTCCATGCAAGAATACTGGAGTGGGTTGCCATGCCCTCTTCCAGGGGATCTTCCCCACCCAGGGATTGAACTAAGGTCTCCCACATTGCAGGCAGGTTCTTTACTGCCTGAGCCACCAGAGAAGCCCCATGAAGATTTAGAACATGGAACTATACTAACATTTATACTTTTCTTTAAAATTTTTAGTCTGAACCTTCAGATACTTTAAAAAAATTTTAGATTAATAGATGCATGATTTTTAGTGATCATTTATCATAAAATCAATCTATTTGTTCCCTTTCTAAACAAAATTACAAATTATATATACATAGGAAAATAAACCTAGAAAACACAGGCTATACTCCTAAGAACATTTCTTAAAAATCTGTAGTGGCTCCTGAACAAATAAGAGAGAAAAAAGACATTATATAAAAAGTTGTCATTCCTTATTTTTCAATTTGATTTAAAAGCTAGATCATAATTTATGCCTAATGCCCCCAGAAAGGAATCTTTTTTCCCCTCCAATCCTAGTATTCACTTGCTCTCTGTTCAGATATATTCCTGTCTGGTAGACAACATTAAGTCATACTATAAACTAAATGACCTCTTCCCTTTTCTCACTGCTTAAATCCAACATTAGGGAATTCTTGCTGATCAGAAACTTTTTATAACCTAAATGGCTCAGAAGTATGTAAGTTACTGTTCTAACGCTATGGCCTCAACCCATCCATTAGAAATGGGTGAGTTTCACGTCTCCATCAGAAAGAGTTCTCTATGGGACAGGTTTACATGTCTTTGGCGGTCTAGTCAATGTGAACAGGTGGAAGAATGCTAGCAGGTATACTGGGGCAAAATTAGTTTCCTTTTTTGAAAATTAGATTGGCCATATTTATACTGCCAGAAACTGTTATATTGCTTTACATATTTCTGTAGAGAGGCATTTTTTTCTTTTTTTTTTAACTTATTTTTTAATTGGAGGAAAATTGCTTTACAATGTTGTGTTGGGTATAATTTTTTATATATGTATATATATATATATATATACACACATACACACATATATGGGCTTCCCTGGTGGCCCAGATGGTAAAGAATCTGCCTGCAATGTGGGATGCCTCAGTTAGATCCCTGGGTTGGGAAGATCCCCTGGAGAAGGGCAGCAACCCACTCCAGTATTCTTGCCTGGAGAATCCCCATGGACAGAGGAACCTGGCAGGCTACAGTCCATGGGGTTGCTAAGAGTTAGACACGACTGAGCAATTAAGCACATACACACACATATATATATTCCCTGTTAGATATTTAAAAAGTGAATTATACCTTTAAAAATATACTCTTAAATTTTAGATAACATATAAGAAACTCTATCATTTCATTTATGAAATTTCTATTACTTGATATTTTGTACTCTCAAATCTATTGTTTTACTCAGATTATAATAGATCCTGCAAGAGGTTCCAAAACTATAAAATTATATAGCCTTAACCCTCTAACTTTTTTTGTCTTATGATGCTCTTAGAGACCTCAGAGTAATATTTTTTTTACATGACCTTAGTAATAAGTCTTATGCTTACTCTCAGGGACAGCCTAGTCCCAGACACCATGTCTTAGAGGGGACAGTGGAAGTGTGAAATTCTAACTGTATACATAGGGTATCCAGACACTGCAGAATCTGTTGTTTCATTTGGGTTGGCATGGGGGAAAGGTGAGGAGATTGAAATGTTAGTCTACATAGCAAAGCTAAATCAGCAGAGCAGTGAAAGGGTGAAATCTGGTAGGATATGACTTTAAAAAAATGTTTGTCTATCGGTTGAGAAGTTATAAGGTATCATTCTTAGGCTCACTGAAATCAGACTCTGATCATTCAAGTGAGAGTGACTCATAAGGAAATCTAGGAAAGGCTAGTGGGGGGTTGGCAGAGGAATATCAAACAGCAAAATACAACAGGCGGGTGCTGTCCAGGGTAACTACCCTGTAAGGAAGTTCTAGAGACTGCTTCAACGTGGTCCTGCCAGATGGGGCAAAGAGCATTCTCACGCTCAGCCATCATTGGCTAAAGACTGCACCCAAGGATGTACATTTTCAGGAACTGGCTTTCCTTGATCAGGCAGCCAGAGAGCAGTCCTCTGACAGACAGACCTGGTGCTGGCTGCTGGCAGGGAAAGCACATTGGAATCTACAACTGGAAGCACAAACATGACAAAGGAATTCAAGGGGATAAGGTTGGACCACTGACAATGTCTCCTATAAGATCCAAGAAACAGTTCATGTATTGGTTCTGTGAAACTTACAGCTGAAAATATTCAAATGCAAAAAACTCCTTCAAGAAAGCTAGTAAAAGCTCAATCTATAAAACATTTCACTAGTTATAAAACAAAGGATTACTTCTTTCATGCAGATGACAAACACACGTCTCTCTGAATTATATAGATTTCACTAGATCTTGAAAAGGAGAAATATCATTCCCCCATTCTCTGTTAGGGACTTGAATGATCACAGATCATTGGTCCACTCTGAGGTGAAACCTAAACCCAAACTCAGATTCATCTTTTCTCTAGATCACCTGTATTTTATGACTGGTAAGGTATGATAATGAGAACAACCAAAAAGACACTTAAGATCTCTTTTAAGAGATTTCAAGAGTAAATATCTGGCAAACATACTGTATCAAAATACAAAGCTCATCTCCTCCCGTGGCTCCACGAGAAAATACTAAAGAGCTAAAGAAAACACTAAAAATCCCTGAAACATGCTTGCCCAGTGATTTGCAGCACACTGGTTCACATGATTCTAAATAGGAGATATTTAAAGAGCATGAGACATTTTAAGGGATGATGGTGGTGGTGTCATTTCAATGTAATTTCTAAAATGTTTTATTTCCTTCACAGCATTTTAATTCTTTACTTCTGAATTCTAACAATGCATTATGTTCCTTGACAGGAACTATAGCATATTAGAGTGCATACGAGTATGTATGTGAATGCTCAGTTTTCTTATATAATATATATAATTATTATATTTATGCAATACCTCTATTCCAAAGTCTGAAGGCATTTTATTGAAATAATCTTCTTCATCTTAGCTAATTTTATGAAACAGATTTCCAAATTTTAAAGATTTATATAAATTGAAAGCAATTACATAGCCTATCTTTACCATAAAAAGAGCATAATGTATTAACTGTGTTAATTGTATACTATACACTGGACAATCGCTTATGAGGAAAATATGCTTGTCTATTGCCTTTTATGCTTGTCTATTTTTACTTTGGAAATGTTTTTTTGTTTTAGTAATAAAAGTTAAATTTTTCTTTTTAAAAAACTAGTTACACATGGAATATTCCGGTTAAATGGATTGAAGATGATGAACAAAGGATTACATTATACAATAGGTCAGAAACAGGAGGTAAATATTGTCAGTTGGTTTATTTCTTCCTTGAATTAATGTACTACATTAGATAAGTATGTGTAAAGAAACGACAGTAAAACTGGAACTTATGAGTTAAATTTCAGCTAAAAGAAATCTCTTAAGTAATTAACCGATGAGCCCAAATCCTTATCGATAATAATGAGAATTTTTTGCCTTAAGAAATTCTTTGTAATGATTTATCATAACCAACACAATAATAAATACCTACATTCAAAGAGAAGGGTCATACACCTAACCATTAGAAGATCAATGTATCAGTTTTCTTCTTTCCGTTCCTCTCTTCCCTCTTCTTTTCCTTCCTTTCTTTTTTCCTTTTCTCGTCCTTTCTTTTTTAAAATATCAAATGTCACTGAATTTCTTAAAATGTTATGTGACAAGCCTGACTTTTAAAATACTGCCATTAAATCAGACCTAATGTTTTTCTCAAATCAGCATGACACTAGAATTTTTAATGACACTAAATTATTTTTTCTAAGCTGTAAGTTGTCACCAGTAGCTCAAGGGACTATCTATATCTATATCCATTCATCTACCCATCCATCCATCCATCCATCCATCCATCCATCCATCCATCCATCTCCCTAAGTGAACATCTTGGCCCTTGCCTGTGTTAAAAATTCAGCTGTGACTGTTCTACCCACTTAAGTCAACTAGAAATATATTTCTGTATTCTATATCCATTCATTTGTATTTTCTTTTCTTGAAAAATTTTAGAGTTATATGAAAACAAGGAGGCCTTATCACATGTTTTTTACTATAGATCGCTGAAAAAATAATAAAAAAGGCAAGTTCTAGCAACCATCCAGGAAGAATCCTGCTTTCCATACTTCTGCTATTGTGCTTGTTTTGTGTTTCAAAAGTCGCTTCTTATCTAAAACAAAATGAGACTCTTCTTCATTCCATCCCATGAGGACTTGGTTTCCAAATAGCATTTGGCATGGACTTTCACCCATTGCTTCTCAAGAATAAAAGCAGATCATCTACCCTCCATTTACATATGCCTATTTGCAAAATATTCTAAAATAGTAATTCATTACCTCTGGCAAGTAAATTTTTACCCTATTCCCAGTAGATTAAAAAAAAAAAGCTTTATTGAGATACAATCCTCATAGTATAAAATTCCCCCACTTAAAGTGTGCAATCCAGTTTTTATTACATTCACAGATATGTGTAACCATCACCACAGTCAATTCTACAGCATTTCAGTCACCTCAGAAAGAAATTCCACACCCTTTAGCTATCAACTCCTCTCTTCTCCTATACTCCCAGCCTTAAGCAACAACTAACCTATTTTTTATCTGCATAGATTTGGCTATTTTGGACATTTCATATGAATGGAATGATATCTATAGCATTTTGTGAGTGGCTCCTTTCACCTAGCTTGTTTTCAAGTTCATCTATGTCAAAGCATGTATCAGTACTTCATTCCTTTTTATTGCCAAGTTATAGTCATATCATATTGATATACCACTTTTTGTTTATCTGTTCATCAGTTGATGAGCATATGGATTGTTTCTGCCTTGTGGCTATTATGAGTAATATTCCTATACACATTTGGGTATAAGTTTCTATGTGGCTCCAATAAGGGTTTTTTCAGCTTTGTTTTTTAATTTTTATTATAAATCATTTGTGATTTTAAAAATAATTGCATTCATCTGTGTGTATTTGGCTGTGCGGGGTCTCCGTTGTGACAAGGCTTTTCTCCAGCTATGTCCAGCAGGATTCCTCTCTGGTTGCAGCGCGGGCTTCCCACCGTGGCGGCTTCTCCTATCGCAAAGCAGGGGCTCTAGGACTCGCGGGCTTCGGTAGTTTTGGCTCTCCAGCTCTAGAGCACAGGCTCGATAGTTGCGGCCCACAGGCTTAGTTACTCCGTGGCACGTGGGATTTTCCCCGGGTCACAGATAAAACCTGTGTCTGCTGCACTGGCAGGCAGATGCTTTACCACTGAGCCACCAAGGAATCCCTATTTTGTAATTTTCAGTTTGTACTCTAAACTCTACCAGCTTTGCTGTTGTCAAGGTAAGACTCTTTACTGTTGCCTTTACAACAAAAACTTTCCCTCGGTCATTTATACTAACTTTAGTTGATGTAGTCAGCAATGTCTCCTAAATTCTTCTAGAATACCCAGATCAGTATTTTATATAGGATAATATTGTTTGCATACCAAGATCTTTTCTGGCCTTTTTCTTACTTAAGCCAAAGGAAAATAGAGACAGAAAAAAATACAGTGAGAAAAAGTGTTCAGTAGCACCTATACACAACATAACGAGGCTAGGATTCCCTTGGGAAATTTTCAGTGGATTTGGCTGGACTATTACTGCATATTTTCCCCATTGGTCCCCACTGGTTAACTGAAGACTGGAGGAACATCTGGGAATCTTCTTGAGTTGATGTTTACAAAGTTAAAAGCATGGATAATTTATTTTCACTAATACAATCTATCCAGAATTTCCATAAACTGAGGTTTTCATAAAAGTAAAATTTCCAGGTAACTAAAGTTTATTCCAGTGGTCCACAAAATAGATTTCAGGAGTTAATAATAAACAGTTTTCTTATATGTCTTATGTCCTTATTAGACACAATATTTTAATAATGAACTTAGTCCTTAATTAATTAAAATATTAATTAATTCTTTCAATGGAGAAGGAAATGGCACCCCACTCCAGTGTTCTTGCCTGGAAAATCCCATGGACTGAGGATCCTGGTAGGCTACAGTCCGTGGGGTCGCAAAGAGTCGGACACGACTGAGCGACTTCACTGCACTTAACTAACGGGCCAGACACAGGGGTAGGTATAGAGATAACGCTGAAGGAAAAATCCCCACAATTTTTACTTTGTAGCACTTACTGTCTAGGGAGGGTGTGGACGAGTCAGCAGGCAAATGCAACACCGTGTCACAAGGGCCTGGTGTGGTGAGAGCCAAAGGTCTCCCAGGAGAAATGCAAGTGGAGATCTGGAAATTCAGGAAAGTTAGTGAAGAAAGGGGCATCTGTCTGAGGGTTAGGGGACTAAAGGTAGAGTTTATGTTGATAATAGGATTGACTGAGTATAGCCTCAGACAGTGCCATGTACAGAAAATGTGAGGGAGCAAAGGGCTCTCTGGGCAGCCTCTATCCCTCTGTCATTAGATTTGAGACATTTCTTTTGCTGTAACTCCTGACTTTTACCTGCCCCTCCCCTCCCTGTAGAATATTCCTTGAGAAATGGAGCTTATTTTTTGTCGTCGTGTGGTTGTTCCATATCACCAGCAGATACCTAGTAATTGTTAATTGAAGGAATGAATGGAGTGGCTCTAATGTCCACAGAGCTTTGATGACAAATCTATCTTTACCTGCAATTTCAGAATCATGACTGGTCATTTAGCCAGAAGCAAATTAGACATCTCTCCCTGCTTCAAAGTGCCTGCTCCATTTTTAGGCTATGCAGTAAGTTCCTGTTTCCTGTTGAGGGACATCTTCAACTCCCAGCTCAGAGCGCAGATGACAACACGTCCTGAGGGTACTGAATGGGCATTCAGCTCAGGTTACCAGCCCCACCTCCTTCTTCTTGGTTTCTTTGGTGATTCATCAGCTAGAAATTTCCCAGGCAATAGTGGGGCTTCCCCTAAGGTCTTTTATTCACATTTGTGTTATGCACAATATTTTAAACATGAAAACCATTAGACATGTACTTTGTAACAAAGAAGAGGCTCTCCATCTCAGGGCCTTCTCTGGCAATTCTAACCTACCCTGAATAATCTCTCCTCTTATTGTTGAGCCAATATTTTATGCTATTAGTTTCATCAATCCTTAGTATTAGTCTTTAGATTTTAAGCAACATCATTATTAAGGTTCATATTCTCTGTCTTGTCTTCTTATGTAAATTATAAGCTCTTTGAAGATACACACTGCACATCATATTCGCTGTCCCCTGCTCACCCTATTCCCTCAAGGTGCTGTGTACATCTTACCATGTACTAAGAATTCAGCAAGTCCTTTCTTAACTAAGGCTTATTTGCCTGAAGACTGCTGTGCTTCTAGAGGTTGCCTATGTGTAGTGAATGCCTCTATCTTTAGCATCAGTTACTATACTGTCTATTGTCAATGCATCTACATTAATAGTATACCACCTTTTTGTTTTTAATCTGCTGCTTTCCAACATTTAGAAGATTTATAGATTAGCATATGATATCAGACAACCAATCTTGCTAAAACATATTTAAAAATAGGGATTCATGAGCATATAGGGTCTAAAAGATAGTTTTAGGGCATAGGAATTAGAACAGACTTTGTAATGACTGTTTTCACAACTCTTTCAGATTATGTATTATGGATGATTTAGATAACCAAATTCTATCATATAAATATTCCTAAAATTTTATGGTAGTTATATTTAAATATTTCATATCAAAATAGTGATGTGCATATATTTTTCTAATTTAATGAGAGAGAGAGAAAGACAAGAAAAAGAAAAGAAATCCATAATCATTCATTATGGATTCAGTTTTGCAGATTCAGAAGCTCAGTTTGTTTAATTCAGCACTGATCAACCAAGTCTTGAAAGACTTATTCACATGAACCATACATATAAGAATGCTAATTTGTTAATTTACACAAATAAAAATATACTGGCTAACATGACCTAGAATATTCACTTCAGCTAATTAGGTATCTCTTCCAGGAAAAAAGTTTACTTAATTAGGGTAAAGGGAGAGCTAAGTTACATCAATTATTTTAAAGATGTCAATCAAGCTGTGACAGCTTTGTATATTGCATTAACCAGCGGAGCCTAATTATTCCACATATTGGCTGGAATAGTAGTTCAATGCAATAAAAATTTCTTATTCATGTAACAGTCCAATGGAGGTATTCCTGACCTGCCGCCTCTCCTAGGTAGCTCACTCCCAGATAATGACTTAGAATTCCTGTCTTTTTCCTTCTTATGGCTCCACTTCCTCTCTCTCTCTACAAACTAATATTAGACTTCTGTGCTGGATCTTTTGCATCTGATCAGAAGACAGAGGAAGATAATGGAGGGACCAGACCTAGAAGTGCATCTATTAATTCTGCCCACACTTTATGCCCCAGTGTCAATCATATGTTGCCACCTAACTGCAAGGGAGGCTAATAAATATAGTCTAGCTCTGTACCTCGAGGAAAAGGGAACAGTGTGGTAAACAGCCAACAGACTTCTCCACATACATTCTTTTCTGTAAGAGCAGATCTGTCAAATGCTCTGGAATACATGTACCAGCTTCCCTAGGCAGACTAGGGACACATCAACAGATCTTCACTATCCAACTCTCTTTTGCAGTTATTTCTTCCCAGTCACCAAAACCCCTGCCCGTGATAATCTTTCATCACGACAGTCACATTGCATTTTTTCCCCAATTCCTGCTTATTATGTATCACATATTAATCCTATATCTTTCTTTTCAGGGAGATTCTCTAGGCTTCTTGCTGAGATTTAGATGGGGCTCTGTAATTATTACTAATACAATAATTGAAATTTCCTTGAATAAGTAATTTGTTGAGAACATTGTCACAAATGGATAACCAATCCATTTTACAATGGATCGTGTTAGTGTTTGTTTCAGAGATTAAACTTTTTTTCCTTATCCCAAATTCCTATTTGAAATTTTTAGATCTCTAAATATAATTTGTATGTCATTAGTAAAAAATAGTATTCTTATACCTTTCAGCTGTTTTACTATTAAGAGATACACAAATTTAATAAAATAGGTATGAACTGTAATTTTACACAGAAAGATAATTTGCTTAAAGGATTGATGGAACACAGTATTTGTGTCATCAAAGAAAAAATGTTTCTTTCTCTAGAAATTTCAGGCTATCACAAGCTGTCTAGTTGACAGAATTTTGTTATAATTATTTACATAAAACAGTATATTAAAGAACTAGTACGCATGCTTTGTTATTGAAATCTATCTAAGTTGAAATTAGCCTCTGGATGAAATTTTGAAAAGATAATTACCAGACAAAAGGAAAAAAAAATTTTAGAAAGAGCTGCTACCCAGAAAGAATCCATTTACCACTCTTATGCATAAAACTAGCAAGAAACCGTACAAAACAATTTATAAGTTGTATGATTACTATGTGGCCATTAAACCTACATCTTCATATATATATAATGAAATTGCAAAGTGTTTACAATATAATTTCAAGTGAAAAGGATTAATAATCAAAAACACAGTAAAGTTCTCTATATGTATTGTGTTTTCACATGTGCATATATATGGAAGATAAACACACATGTACATATACACACAAGATTAAAACATAATGTCAACTGGTGGTGGATAATTTTTGTATTCTTCATTATACTCTTTTTTTATTTTCCAAATACATATTTGAAACCATAAAGAACAAATACTGCTGTTATAATCAGAAAAATCTTAATAGCAACAGGAGAAACAGAACAATGAAGCATGCACCATTTACTTCTATGTACTGCCTGGAACAGGCATCAGTATTTTATCCTACTTACTTAGTAAGTATGCAACTCAACAACCCAACAGTATTTTGTTGTTGACAGCTGTTCCATGAGTAGCATGAACTTGGAAAGTCCAGTAACTACTGACTTCCTGGACCTCAGCTTCCTCATCCATAAAGTGAGAAAAATCACAGTAACTCTAGACAGGCTTAACTAGGTATATATAAAGCACACTAAAATACTGCTGTATTTAGATGGATTGCCAGGAACTTCTCAATGTTATTTATATTTGCTTTGCTATTTATAGAACTGGCGGCATATCCCCTTTCATAATAATGGGGATAGCTACCATCTGTTGGACACATAACTATGTAGCCAACACTTTACCTATGTTATCTTATTTAATCTTCACAATAGCCCTGTGAGGGATTTTTATCCCTGTTTCCCTCATGGTGAACTGAGACACAGAGAGGTCAAGTGATTTGGCTAAGATCACACAGCTAGTAAGTCATAGAGCAATGATTTTATCCTAGATCTGTCAGACTCGAAAGTTCATGCTCTTTCTCCTGTAACATATGGCTCTGTGCTTAGCAAGAGGCTCTCCTCCTGATACAAACATTCAAAGTGTATGGCTGCCAAAAGATTAGCTTCCTTTCAACAACCTGTCCATGGGAGAATGACAAAGAAAGATAAATACTACATGAGTGAGGTAAAGGTTTACAATTTGTCAAGAACCTACTATGAATGTTCCTAAAGAAACTTATTGTCTTGTTGAAGTGTTTACTCATGTATTATGAAAAACTACTGTGTCGTTGGATATCTTCCAAACCTTGTGAGCACTTCCAAAATGTAAATCACCTTTCCTCCCAAACTGACTCATCTTCGTCTATTCCTTCTGTAATGGCAACACCATTATTTATCCAGTCATGCACGTCATTTTCCCCTCTAACTGTCCACATCAAGTCAGAAAAGATAGTGTTGATTTTACTTGTGATGTGTCTCTTGAATACATCATCTATTTTCATCATCTCCACATTAAGGTAAGCCCTCATTTTCTCTTGCCCTAGATTATTGTAGTAGACTCTAGAATCTCCTTCCAATATCTCCTTCCCATACTACCATCAAAATTATCTTTCTAGAAACAGACCTGAGTATATTATTCACCTGCCTAAAAGTCTTCTCTTTTCTTACCGTCTCTCAGAAGATGGACTTAATACAGCATGTGGCTCTTCACACTGAAGCCCCACTTTTACTTCCAGGCTCATATCCTATTTTCCAATATCACATCCCATGTTATTATTACATTAAACTATCTGAAGTTATTTAAATATACTAAGTATTCCCACATCATTATTTAAATTGCATGTTGCCCATACAGACAAGAGTATAGGAATTAAGATGTATATGAGTAATGCTAACCAAACACTGGTCATACAGAGCATAAATACTATTTGGAGTTCGGTTCAGTTCAGTTCAATTGCTCAGTGTCCGACTCTTTGAGACCCCATGGACTGCAGTATGCCAGGCTTCCCTGTCCTTCACCAACTCCTGGAGCTTGCTCAAACTCATGTCCACTGAGTCAGTGACACCCTCCAACCATCTTATGCTCTGTCAACCCCTTCTCCTCCTGCCTTATTTTGAGTAGTTTTTACTTAAAACATCTTTGTTCCTTCAATGTTGAGCTTCCAAAATCTATATCCTAGAGCCTTATGTAAATACTAAATACTAATTTAGAAATAAAGTTAATTTGGTAAATCCATTGATGAAAAAACATTGATATAATCAATTGAAATATGGAAGTAGAAGGCTTTACAAAAATAAAATTGGGAGAAGAAGTATGAAATGGACTACAAGATGAAAAATGCTGTATTTGGATTTTAGTCCTATTGCAAGCCTTCTTGACATTTGAAAAAAAATTGTTACTGACTCTCAAATCATTATTCTGCTTAGTAATCACCATATCCATCAATTAGAATATTGATTTTAATTAACCAAAGTATTCTTTTAAATGTTTACATTTTTATCCCCTTCCCAAGCTATCCCAGTGAATAATCCTTGTGTAATTAATCCATCATGATTAAGAATATATGGATTACCCACAAAGGGCATGGAGTTCTCTGTCTTTAAGTATTGTTGGTTTTTTTTAAATTTTTTTATTGAGGGATTGACAAGCACAGAATTATTTCCCCCATATGACAAGCTTCTGCCAGTAAGAAATAAGAAGAAGTCACAAATTACATGGCACCTATTTACATTACTTATTTCTTTTTCAGCTCACACACTACAATGACATGTTAAAATTAGGCAATAAGAATAATAAGAATTAGACTTTGGGGCTTTGGATCCATATCAAACTTGACTCTTCAAGCTAACATTTCTTTTCTTTTTGCCCTCTGAGTCTAATTTCTATGTGTTTACAGTATGTGCAAACATGTTTCTCATTAGTGTTTATTTACTACCACAGGAATCACTTTGGAATCTACTCAGAGTGGAAATGCTTTTCTCAAAATAAACCCTGATCATATTGGGTTTTATCGTGTAAATTATGAAGTATCAACTTGGGAATGGATAGCTGCCAATCTTTCCCTCAACCACATGGTAAGAGTAGAAATGGTTGTGAATTGTTTTACTTTTGTTCTAAGAATAGCATCTTAATGATATTAATTTTTCAGTATATTTTGCTTTAAGATTCATGTTTCCTGCCTTTTTTTCTTTCTCTTCCCAGGACTTTTCTTCTGCTGATCGTGCAAGTTTTATTGATGATGCTTTTGCCTTGGCACGGTAGGTTTCAGAATGAGAGTCAGTTCTTTAAAATACTATGGATCTTGTCATAAATTTCTTTTAAAATGAGTTACAACAAAGTTTGAGTATTAATTTATAGTTTGAAGTATCCAAAACCACTATTTACAACATTATTATTTTACATAACCTTCTTCTTTAAAACTAATATGAGCCTTATAGCCAAAATACTGATATCAGCCTTTAACAGACACAAAACCTCACCTACCCTATTGACTTTAAGTGAGGTTTGACTAATCTGAGTTCTTGAGCTAATTAGGAGCAACACTTACAAATGCTTAAAAGTGCACTGTTATAATTTGATTTAATAAAAAGACAAACAATGTGTTTCATAAACTCATCTCTGTGAGCTCACAGAGATGAGCCCAAGCCCACTGTAAGATTCTATGGCTAGAGTTTTCAAATATTATTCAGGTCACTGGGGTAAGAAGAATGAGACATGGTGCTCTAGGATTGATATAATTAAGGTGTCATTTCAGAAATTTGAATTTTTTCTCATGGCCTAAAGGTAGTTACACTTAGGAAAAAACAACCTACGCTTTGGAAAAAAAAAAAAACAACATAGACTGTGGTAATGTAAGAGCAGTAACCATAGCACCTTTGAGATCTATCTTTCAGGTTGGCTAACACGAGTAATTTGGCCAGTAGTTTTTGAATTTCTGGCACTTCTGTAGGAGCTAGGGGCACACCCAACTTGCTTTTCTGGCTTTGTAGTAGCTTCATTTTAGCCACAAGCAATGTCCTGACAATGAGATGCTAGTTCCCCTTCTCTGAGTTGGGTGTCCCTTTTATGGACCCCTGTGTTTCCAATAATATTAATTGTCATTGCTTATTAATTATCCATCTCACCCACCAAATTATAAGTTTCATGAAGGTAGGCACCTGGATCATGTTCCTCTTCATTTTATCCCCAGCTCCTAACTGTGCCTGGCCCCAAGTTGATGCTCATTAAATAGGAACTGAATACATGGCTAGAAGGATGGTATAACAGCACTAAAGGCATGGGAGAACTGTTTTACATGGACTCCCTAGATACTGCAAGTCAGAAATCCTTTGTGACATTTTTAAGGGGGGAATTTATAGGGAATTAAAAACAAGCTCTCAAACCGCATTAAAATCCTGGCTCTGTATAACCTTGAGAGAGTTTCTTGTCTCTGCTTCAGTTCGTTTCCTTATTAGTAAAATGGATATGAACTTAGAAGACTCTTGTGAGGAATAAGTGAGAGAATGTGCACAAAGGGCCCCAACCACTGTCCATTCCCTAGGAAGTGCCCAATAGATCACAGTGCTTGACCGAGAGGCACCCACCGTTGATTAGCAGCAGCAGAGAAGCATTTGGTAGCTCAGTGGTGAAGAATCCACCTGTCAGTGCAGGAGACACGGGTTTGATCCCTGGGTCAGGAAGATAGCCTAGAGAAGGAAATGACAGCCCACTCCAGTATTCTTGCCTCAGGAATCTCATAGACAGAGGAGCCTGGCAGACTACATTCCCTGGGATCGCACAGAGTTGGACACAGTTTAGCAACTAAACAAGACAGGCATTTTAGAAAAGCTCTTCTAAATTCCTAATCTAGACTCTATTGTAGGTAATAGAACTTGATTCTCTTTGGTGAACCTCCAAGTTTAATCTCCTGGCTATGTAACAGATTATTTTAATTATGTTATGGTATGTCGATCCTTCATTTGATAAATGTTTATTGAGCACCTACTCTGTTCCTGGCACTATGTAGGTTGGGAAAATTAAGTGGTGATATGGTGAAAGAAAATGATCCACCTTTTAGGGAATTCCCTGGTGGTGTAGTGGTTAGGACTCTGCACTTTTGCTGCTGAGGGCATGGGTTCAACCCCTGGTCCAGCAATTAAGAAACTGAAAGCTGCACGGTGCGGCAAAAAAAAAAAAAAAAAGAAAAAAAAAAAAAACCTTTTTTAAACAGGACTATTAGATTTTTTTTTTCTGAAAACTCTCCTGTGTATGGATCGTGACCTTTTCCAAAGCTTAGAATCTTGTATCTTTACAGTTTAATTTCCATCATAACACAATGCAGACAGTTCTTTTGCTTTAAGAAGTGAAAGCCTCTTGAACAGCTTTCTCTGAGGAATGGCGTACAAAGTGGATAACTCACACAACTGAACAATCTTCCTGCATTTGTTCAGCTGCTTGACCATAGCCCCATCAAATTTTGAAGAGCTTCAGAAAGGAAGAAAGTGAAACAAATTTGAAAGTCAAAAAGCATGTAGAATCATACAGCACCAATCCAGAAAATACCTGAGCTGTCATCTGAAACATTGCCTGAGCTACTGAGTTACCACCCAATTTCTGTCTGCAACACATGAGGAAAAATGGACTCAGAGATAAACAGGCCCCCACCTGTATTAGAGTCTGTTCCAAATCACTCAAACTTCAGAGAAAAATAGAAATGCATAGATAGGTAAGTGCATGAGGTAGGATTAGAATTCACACAGTTCTACTCTGATATTCAAAAAGAAATGAACTATTATGTTTCATCAGTAAAAGGGCAGATCTAAAAATAAATATATTCTTGATTCCCCTGCCCCCAAATGTGAGGAGCCAGGACTCTTAACTGCTCTCCAGCTGGGCACATTTGCTGAAGGCAAGGAGTAAGAATTCACCCAGTCACTTTGAGTCCCCACGACAGGTTCAGCTCAACCATATGCCCTGCCTAGTTATACCCTCAAAGTTTTTAAGTTCATTTAAAGTTTCTCCCAGCCCCCACTCAGGCTGGTTTCTCTGCAATGAGAACAAGGTGCCTGATTTCTCCGTCTTGCTACATGGAGCCCCTGCTTCTTACCATGTCACCTCTAATTCTCCACTGCAAGGAGCACAGAGGGGGCCGACGAGGGGAGATCCTGATATGCTGTCTACTTGGGGATATGTGCTATCTTATGGCCCATTCCATGGCCAACAGTCTTTCTTCTGCAGTTCCCTGAGGTGAGGAAGTGAAAACTTCCAAACCACATCTAGTCTATGGCAGGTATTCACATGTCCTTTCCCCTGACAAAGTCTGGAGAGACGGGCCACCTCATGCAGTCTTATCTCTTCACTCTGATGTTAAAACAGTAGTCAACTACAGTCTCTCGTCATTTAGATTTCTTGGGATCAGATACCAGGCCACTGTGTCCACATGAGTTCCAGGATACACAGATAAAACTCTTCAAGTGGTTCCATTAAAACCTCTTTTCTAGTCTGGGTGTGAGGGGGGAAGCATCCTACAGTCTTGTCCTCCGTGAGAGGATAGCACTTGCGTACACTGATGGAATCCTCCAGAAGTGTGTGTGTTTGTTGCTCAGTCATGTCTGACTCTTTGTGACCCCATGGACTGTATCCTGCCAGGCTCCTCTGTCCATGGAATTCTCCAGACAAGAGTACTGGAGTAGGTAGGCATTTCCTACTCCAAAAGCCCTCTTCTGAAATGTCTCTCTCTCCCTGTTAGGCATTCCAGTCTCTTTCCCAGGCTGCAGTGGGCTATCAGCCGAGGGTCACAGAAAGCTGAGGCTTCTGACTGTGTCAATCCTGATTGGGTGGGCCCACATCTTACTTTAGAGCATGGGTCAAGGGGCTTGGTATGGGGGGCCTTGCCAAAATTGAGACAGAAAGAATCCTTTTTTGTCTACCTGTTACAGTAGAATTTTATCTTTTCAATAGCTTATTTGGCACTTTGCAGCCCACTGTGTGCCAAAGCCATGAGAGGCGCCAGGAATAGCACCCGTGAAAGCAGAGTGCTGGCTGGCCAGCACACGGGAGGGAGCTGGAGTTTCTAGCTGAGCAAAGGATGGCAGAGAAGGCGGTTTCAAGGGCCACCTAAACTAATGATGCAAACAGACTTTTGCCAGACTTCATGGTACTGTGGCTCCAACCATGTCCAAGGTGAGGGCCAGGTTAGCAAATAAAGACCACAAAGTGGACATCAGCCATGTCAAGGTTACAGACCTCGAGGCTCACCAGATTACCTTTTTATAGATGCTTACAGAGCTGACCAGACCACAGCACAGAACTAGATAAGTAAATTTTCCCACCCTATTGAGGACTGCCTTTTAAAGAAAGGAGAAGTGAGTTGCTGGGGAAAGACTCCAAAAGGGATCTAGTTGATTGCAAGGAGACTGTTTTAAGCCAGAAATCTGAATTTAATTAGAAAGTTAATGTCGAGAGACCAAACACATGCGAAGTTTTCAAAAGTCTCCACACCACCTGAAGGCTTTGCTGAAGAACTTGAGACCATAGGGTCAGATCCCTCTACCTAACCACCTCTCTCAACCATTTCTGCTGTTCCACTCAAAAGCCGTTGTTTGATAAGACATTGGGCTGAACTTGACCTTCTTGGAAAAGGACTGTGCAGTCTTTCCAGGTCACACCCAGGAAAGCAAAACCAAACCTTTTGTTCCAAGATTCCCCAAACTTCTGAGTACCTCAGCCCAAGATAGAGCAAGCATTTCCTCAAAAGACCTTTTTGTTTTCTTCTTCGTAGCATTTTGTGGGAACTTTCTTTAAGTTATGGCCTCCATCCTCTCTACAAAATAGATTGTAGGTCAATTCTAGGATCAAAGTTCCTCAGGCCGGACTCTTACTATAAATGGAAGATTTTTGAATAAGGAAAATTCTCAACCAAATCTGGCTTTCAGAACTGCTGTTGGTCTACAGATTTAATAAACAGGGTTGGTGACTCAAAGTGAGTAAAAATGCTGTCTTGAGTTCCCTCAAAGCAGAGTCTGAAATGGAGTTTCGTGAACGTGTGGTTTATTGAAAGAAGACTCTCATGAGGTAGGGAGTGTGAGAAGCAGGGTGGGGCAGGGGAAAAGCTGAGCAACGATGACATGGTCTCAGCTGGAGTCTAGCTTTGCCAGATTCCAGTAGGAAGCCATTCATGAATTGTACTACACAGTGACCCAGCTTGAGGGAAGCAGACTGGCCTGTTGCATTCCTGCATCAGACAATCAATGACCAGGGGTAGGGGTTGCATAACCTTTTAAGCAAGATGGATGTATTTGGTCAAGGGCTATTCTCTGAAGAAAAAGTGCAGCTATGAGCCAAAACAGCACTGTAAGGGAACCTTGGACGGAAGGGCACTGTAGATGTCTTTGTTCTAAAAACTGATTCTTCACACACAGTCCCAGTAGTATCAGCATTGCTGGGAGCTTGTGAGAAATGAGAATTCTTAGGCCCTACACCAGACCTGCTGAGTCACAAATTCTAGAGATGGGGCCCAAGTGTTAAAAAACCTTCCAGATGTTGCTGATACATGCTCAAACTTGAGAATCATGATCCTAAAAGACACTGCTCTTCCTTGGAAGTATCGAATACCACAGAATAGCATGATGTGGGAGAAGGCAATGGCACCCCACTCCAGTACTCTTGCCTGGAAAATCCCATGGACGGAGGAGCCTAGTAGGCTGCAGTCCCTGGGGTCACTAAGAGTCGGACAGGACTGAGTGGCTGGCTTCACTTTCACTTTTCACTTTCATACACTGGAGAAGGAAATGACAACCCACTCCAGTGTTCTTGCCTGGAGGATCCCAGGGACAGAGGAGCCTGGTGGGCTGCCGTCTACAGGGTCGCACAGAGTCGGACACGACTGAAGCAACTTAGCAGCGGTAGCAGCAGCATGATGTGTGGGAAATGAAAAGGGCATCAACTTAATTCTCAAAATATTATCTCTATAATAACTGACAATTCATTCTCAGTCCAGTGTTCTGACCGAGTGACTCAGCCTTAAAAAAGACAAGTGCTATCAAATATGTTGAAAAAACAAGGCACTAGGATAGGATATCAATTTTTCAACAGTTAAATATATAGTATTTATATATAAAATGGGCCTCTAAACTTCACCTGCTATAAATTTACAGCCCACTAGGTTTTCGAATTACCTATTATTCTTTATAAACTTTCATTAGCCTTCACCAATTTGATCCTCAGAGCAACAACTATTCAGTTATTCTAAGAAAATACTGATTGGACAAAGCTGTTCCTCTATCCACCCAGGAAACTAGAGAATTATTAAAATTAGAAAATTCTCAAGTTTCAAATTGCAACATAAAATTCTACAATCACTTTCTACTCAACAAACATTCTCAATAAAGTACTCCATTTCTCAATATTAGTTATACTTTTATTAAGACAAGTTGAATGCTCCAAAATATAAATCCTTTTAAAAAGATCATAAAGAAGGTTGAGCACCATAAAGAAAGCTGAGCACCGAAGAATTGATGCTTTTGAACTGTGGTGCTGGAGAAGACTCTTGAGAGTCCCTTGGACAGCAAGGAAATCAAACCAGTCAATCCTACAGGAAATCAACCCTGAATATTCATTGGAAGGACTGATGAAACTGAAGCTCTAGTATTTTGGCCACCTGATGCAAATAGCCAACCCATTAGAAAAGACCCTGATGCTGGGAAGGATTTTAGGCAGGAGGAAAAGGGGATGACAGAGGATTAGATGGTTGGATGGCATCACCAACTCAATGGACATGAATTTGAACAAGCTCTGGGAGATGGTAAAGGACAGGGAAGCCTGGCGTGCTGTAGTCCATGGGGTCACAAAGAATTGGAAACAACTGAGCGACTGAACAACAACAAATAAGATCAAGATCTGAGAAAATAGGAGAAATTGGCTCTCTGAACTGAAAATAAACTTTGTATTATATCACATTAGTACAAATCATATGCTGCCAAAAGTGTTTATTCTTACCTAGATCTCCAACACCATTTTATCTTCTTATCAATTCAGGAGAGAAATCAAGATATGATTACATTATTCCTCATTCACAAAAAATGATCGCAAACATAATAGCACTCAATGCACTGAAGTATGACTTCAGTTCAATTCAGTCGCCCAGTCGTGTCCGACTCTGCAACCCCATGAATCGCGGCACGCCAGGCCTCCTGTCCATCACCAACTCCCAGAGTTTACTCAAACCCATGCCCATTGAGTCGGTGATGCCATCCAGCCATCTCATCCTCTGTCATCCCCTTCTCCTCCTGCCCTCAATCCCTCCCAGCATCAGGGTCTTTTCCAATGAGTCAACTCTTCGCATGAGATGGCCAAAGTACTGGAGTTTCAGCTTCAGCATCAGTCCTTCCAATGAACACCCAGGACTGATCTCCTTTAGGATGGACTGGTTGGATCTCCTTGCAGTCCAAGGGACTCTCAAGAGTCTTCTCCAACACCACAGTTCAAAAGCATCAATTTTTCGGCGCTCAGCTTACTTTATAGTCCAACTCTCACATCTATACATGACCACTGGAAAAAGCGTAGCCTTGACTATATGGACCTTTGTTGGCAAAGTAATGTCTCTGCTTTTTAATATGCTATCTAGGTTGGTCATAAATTTCCTTCCAAGGAGTAAGCGTCTTTTAATTTCATGGCTGCAATCGCCATCTGCAGTGATTTTGGAGCCCAAAAAAATAAAGTCTGACACTGTTTCCACTGTCTCCCCACCTATTTCCCATGAGGTGATGGGACCAGATGCCATGATCTTAGTTTTCTGAATGTTAAGCTTTAAGCCAACTTTTTCACTCCTCAGTAATTTAAAGTTTATTATTTAACCTAAACTTTCAAAATGTAATTTGGAAAGACAGGATTCCCACCTAAGAGTCTTTACAAAACCTAGGCTAAAATTTGAGGAATAACAGATTTCTGAGAATATTATTTCAAAAGGTTCCAAAATCTTTTCTAAGGAGGAATAAGTTGGACTCTTTAAACATTAAAGTGTCAATAGTAATTTCACATTGTTTTGAGGAACAAAATCCATTTTTATTTATAAATATTACTGGGAAATTTATTAAAAGGAGATGTTTTATGGGGAATATAAGTTCAATTGAAATGTTTTAAGCATTGATGATTCACAAGTACCGTTATATTTCTTATTCATATCAAACATAAAAAATTCAATAAGGTACAATTATAATGGTGCATTTGTATATTAAAATCAGCTAGTGAACCTAATGTTTAAAAGTTTCTATTTGTCAATATTAACCATACAACTAAATGGCTTTTGTTTTACCTAAAATTCTGCCACAGCAATTTTTCAATGCATGCCTTAATGTATTGTCTTCCCCTTTATTGCTGAACATATGAAAATACTAATACATCATTGTGAAGAAACCTCTTTGATTGGACCTTTATAGTAATGCATTTTCTTAATTGTTTAATTGAAGGATTCTCGTTAACATTGAAGTCTATGATGCCCATGTTAGTACTTTCAGTCAAAGGAAACCAATCTATTGGTTTTAATTTACTGTGGGATTTTTTTTTCTTTCTTAGAGCTCAGCTTCTAAATTATAAGGAGGCTCTGAACTTGACCAAGTATCTCAAAGAAGAAAAGGAATATTTACCATGGCACAGAGTCATTTCAGCTGTAACCTATATTATTAGCATGTTTGAAGATGATAAAGAGCTATACCCTGTGATTGAGGTAATGCTAATGCTATAGCTCATGGAAGTAGATGTTTAGTCCCATTGGTAGAATAGGAAGATTTATGAGAGAAGGACCTCCTGGGAAACACAAAAGCATATCTTGACTGCCAAGTAAAATCAAAGGAAATTACAATGACTTGACTAATCAAATGAAAGAGATGCTATTTTCTTTCAGCTTGAAGTGTATCAGTATTTCTGGTTCAGTATACCACTTAAAGGTGTATTTTAGTGTTAGAAGAAATACAATAGTTAATATTTTATTTAAAACAAAAAATGTTTTAAACCATAGATACAAACTAGATCCCATTTTTAATGGATTTATCTATGTTAAAATGAATTTATTCGTATCAAAATATAACATCATTTTCCTTATTATTACTGCTGTTATTTTCACATTGAGATTTTATTATGACAGTCATTCAGACTACTTTTCTTGACTTTGTGATTTCTGTAGCACTTTCTGATTACAAGGACACTTGTAATTTTAAACAAATTCTGGATTCCAATTTCTAGCTCTTCCATTTTCTTTATGAAAGAAATTGGACAAATGATTTCATATTTCTTTATTTTCTTTGTACAATAGGAAGTTAGTACTTGACTGCCCATGGTAATGGGATAGTAAGAATCATATAATATAAATATCCTTTGTAGATCTTAAGGCAATATACAAATATTAGTTACTATTTCATTAATACTTGAGCAATCTTTAGTATGGTAAGTCTATCAGGTGTTATTCTATTTATTAAAATGTCAGCTAAGAAGTGGAGGTTAAAAGGGGATGACCCAAAGTTCTATAAAACATTACAGAGTGATCCAGAATGTTCTTATGTTCAGGACTGAAGTAAAATTGCTATGTGATAAAAACTGGAATATATATCTTTCCTAAGTACAGGCCCAAAGTTCTCTGAACTAGTAGGGGAAAAGATTACCACTGGGAACTGTAGATAATAATAAATGGGAGACTGTTGCTAAATAGTAAATTATTACTCACTGCACATGGGGCTTTTATTTCAGAAATACTTCCGAGATCAAGTGAAGCCCATTGCAGATTTTCTGGGATGGAATGATTCTGGAGACCACCTCACAAAGTAATTTTTTTACCTTTTTAAAAATTAATATTTGTTTAATATTTGTGTGTGTTAAAATATATTGAAAAGTGCTCAAGGCCCCAGCTCTGTGTGTGTTTGTTTTCTTAGATTACTCCGTACCTCTGTATTAGGACTGGCGTGCAAGATGAGAGACAGCGATGCCTTGAACAATGCTTCCCAGTTATTTCAGGAGTGGCTAACTGGGACTGTAAGGTGACTATTCCCATGATTTCATATCTAGAAGACTTTAAACTGAGAAATGAGGAATTAAAATCTCTGAAACACTGTTTCTTCTTCTAGCCTTCCTGTAAATCTCAGGCTTCTGGTATATCGGTATGGTATGCAGAACTCTGGCAATGAGACTTCATGGAATTACACTCTTGAACAATACCAGAAAACTTCATTAGCTCAAGAAAAAGAAAAGCTACTGTATGGATTAGCATCAGTGAAGAATGTTACTCTTTTGTCAAGGTAAGCTGGAACTTTTTAAAAATTACATGAATGGTACTTGATAGTTTACATGTCACAGTCTCTTTAAAATGCTAATTAATGGAAGATACATTTCCAATAAAGTCTATTAAAAAATTATTTTCCTGGCAAGAAACAAAATATCCATGTAAGAGTGGCTTAAAAAATAAAGACACATTATCTCATATAAAAAATTCAAGAGGTAGATAACTTCCAGTCATGAACAGTGAGTCAACATTTTATCCAAGACCAGGGCTCTTTCTCTTTCTTTTCTGCCATCTTCAACATGTTGGATATTTTATGACTTCCAGAGCTCCAAGTATTTTGTCTTCACATAAATATGTTCAATGGAAGAAAGACAGGAGCAAAAGACCTCCTCCTCACAAGACTCTGTCTTTTATGATAAGAGGTCAGTTACCTCCACTTCGTCTCATAATCCAGCACTAGGTCACCCTTGATCATTCTGGGTGATTCTCTGGGTCTACCACTTGATCACTTGCTGACTACGACGAACTCAATTTTCTTTGAGTGACTTGGGCCAATCATGCTACTCTGACGATGGGGTAGCAATTTGCCCTCCCTAGAATCAGAGATCAGTTCAGTTCAGTCGCTCAGTCGTGTCCGACTCTTTGTGACCCCATGAATCGCAGCACGCCAGGCCTCCCTGTCCATCACCAACTCCCAGAGTTTACTCAAATTCATGTCCATCGAGTCGGTGATGCCATCCAGCCATCTCATCCTCTGTCATCCCCTTCTCCTCATGCCCCCAATCCCTCCCAGCATCAGGGTCTTTTCCAATGAGTCAACTCTTCGCATGAGGTGGCCAAAGTATTGGAGTTTCAGCTTCAGCGTCAGTCCTTCCAATGAACACCCAGGACTGATCTCCTTTAGGATGGATACCTTGATCCAAACCCAGGAAGAAACTGGTTTCTGTCAGCAGAGGAAAACTGGTTTCTGTTCTGTCCACCACAACATGCATGCACACACAAATAGTTATTTACATTATACTCAAAATATACAAAGACGACTTGAAGCCCATCTATGAATGTTCTCCCACTTCACACCTATGTCCCAAATCAACTAGTTTCTGCCTTATTCATTTTTTGCTTGTATAGATAATGAGTTATTTGCTTCATTCATTTAACCAACACTAAGATATCCTTTCTATGTATAGGTATGTAGATTGTGGGAATAAAAATGAAAAAGAATAATATCTATTCTTGAGAAACTTATAGGTTCATGGGAGAGGCAGAATATAAATAGTAAATGATAGTGCAAGAACGAATTTGTAAGAGCTACCAGAAACCGTTTGTTTTTACTTAGCAGGGCCAACAATATACTTTCACTATCTCACCTCAGGGCTATATTTGAAGTCTCCTTCTCTCTGGCCTAAGATAGATAGTCTATCTATCAGAACTTGACCATCTTAACATTCCACAAAACATCATATTGATTCATTACTTGGTTGTCATGGTGTTAATTGTATATGATGATAAAATTAGCAAGTACTTAGATGCCTTGTGTGTGTGTTCAGTTATGCCCAATTCTTTTCAACCCCATGGACTGTAGCCCACCAGGCTCCTCTGTCCACAGAATCTTCCAGGCAGGAATACAGGGGTGGGTTGCCATTTCCTACTCCAAGGGATCTTCCTGACCCAAAGATCAAACCACATCTCTTGGATCTCCTGCATTGGCAGGCAAATTCTTTACCACCGTGCCACCTGGGAAGCTCCACTTAGATGCCTTACTAATATTCTTACAAACTAGAGGATAAAAGATAAATTGTACAAAATTCAGGAGTGCCCCACTCAAGTGCAATTTATGGAAGTTTATTAGAGCATGCTCAGATATTCCTTCTGGGTACAGCCATGGAATAAAGTGAATAAAAATCTATTTGGTCACTTAATTTATCTTGGACTTATTTGCTTTATACTCTAATTATAGCCAACTAATCTAACCATACAGATTATATTAGAAAGTTGTTTTTTACAATCTTCAGTTCAGTTCAGTTGCTCAGTCATGTCTGACTCTTTGCAACCCCATGGACTGCAGCATGCCAGGCCTCCCTGTCCATCACCAACTCCCAGAGTTTACTTAAACTCATGTCCATTGAGTCAGTGATGCCATCCAACCATCTCAACCTCTGTCATCCCCTTTTCCTCCCACCTTCAATCTTTCCCAGCATCAGGGTCTTTTCCGATGAGTCAGTTCTTCGTATCAGGTGGCCAAAGTATTGGGGTTTCAGCTTCAACATCAGTCCTTCCAATGAACACCCAGGACTGATCTCCTTCAGGATGGACTGGTTGGATCTCCTTGCAGTCCAAGGGACTCTCAAGAGTCTGCTCCAACACCACAGTTCAAAAGCATCAATTAAGACTTAACTGTAATCGCATATAAAATAAGAATATAAGGACCTCCCTGGTGGTGCAGGGCTGAAGAATCTGCCTGCCAATGCAGGAGATGTGGGTTTGAATCCTGATCCAGGAAGACCTCACATGCAGCAGAGCAGCTAAGCTCATGTACCACAGCTACTGAGCCTGTGCTCCAGAGCCCTGGAGGCACAATTACTGAGCCCACACACCACCACTAGCAGAGCCCACATGCCCTGGAGCCCATGCTCCACAGCGAGAGAAGCCACCACAATGAGATGCACCGCAGCTAGAGAGAAACCTGTGCAGCAAGGAAGACCCAGCACAGCCAAAATTCTATAATTTTATAAAATTATGAAAAAGAAAGAGTATCAGTACTTAATTCGTTCCTTTTTTAGTTTAATGGAATAATTGGCAAATGGATGAAGTGCTTCTATTAAATAAATACAATTAATTTTTTAAATTAATAGTTAAAATTGTGGGTTTTAACTGTTATAGTACTTCCAAAATAACTGAAATTTTCATACAGTTTACAATTCAGTAGTCCTCAAAATTACAATCAGTTAAGTATTTTAGAAAATATTAAATTATGTTTTATTATTTTTCTTATTTGTATCAGTTGATGACTCAAGAATTAAATTACTGGAATGAAAGCTATGTTCTATTGGAATTTAGCTAAGGGTGAACACTGAAAGTTCATTTTGAATTGCTTTTCCATTTGACTTCTTTTAGGTATTTGGATTTACTCAAGGACCCAAACCTTATTAAAACGCAGGATGTGTTTACAGTCATTCAATACATCTCATATAACAGCTATGGGAAGACTATGGCCTGGAATTGGATACAACTCAACTGGGAATATCTAGTCAACAGGTGAGTGATCAGATAATGATTTGTTGTTCTCTTTGCCTGATACCATCTACAAGTTCTTTTTTCTCTTTTTTGTGCTCTCTCTGACATCTATACAATATCTGAAATGGTATATTATCAGAAGTAAAGGATCATGGTATTTTCCCTCCAGGGAAGCAATATACTAGTTTAAGCATAATTCCTTTCTTGGAAAGTAGTGTTTCCAACTGATCAATAGATTTCTGAAATCTTCAAACATGCCTAAATTGCATCTGAGTCATCAGAGAAGACCCTAAAGGAGTTTCCCTGTAGCTCATACAGTAAAGAATCTGCCTGAAATGCGGAAGACCCAGGTTTGATCCCTGGGTAGGGAAGGTCCTCCGGAGAAGGGAATGGCAACTCAGTCCAGTGTTCTTGCTGGAGAATCCCATGGACAGAGGAGCCTGGTGGGCTATAGTCCATGGGCTCGCAAAGAGTTGGACACAACCAAGCAACTAAGCATACACTTGTGATTTATTTCAAATAATGCATATTTCATTTAAAAAGTTAGTTCATTGTTTAACTCTTAAAAAATTAAGAAGTAGGAAAAAACAGGTTTGTATGATCATAAAAGTCAAAAACAGTTGACCTTAAATTTATTAGACCTAAAGTTTAATTTTTTCAGGACAAATAAATTAATGAACTGCTTCCAGTGCTAGTTAAACCCCTCTCCCAAGGCTTTTAATATTTCTTCATCATATGATAATCTAATTCTCATATCATTTCAAGTAGCCTAAATCACGTAATAACCATATGTGAGACACAAACAAAAAAGCCCAATATTAATTATGGTTTATTTGAAAAAGTATAATTTCCCCATTAAAATAGGATAAGACAAATAAAACAGAAATGAGCCAAGCTTCAGTCACATATTTTCAAACTCTTAAACATTTTCCAGACTTCAGAATGAGTGGTTTTACTGCCTCTGTTTCTGAATAATTTATAGTCATCTTAAAATAAATAATCTGCTTTGTTATAAAGCTTTTGCTTTATGATTTTTATGACAGCTGATGACCAACCACTAATGTCCTTTCCAGTTTGAGACTTAACCACAAAGTTCCAAAAAAACTTCAGAAATTATTATTTGCTTTTGTTTTTTCCACTAAACACTTACATGAAACTGTGAAGTTGAATGAACTCAATAAGTCAATATTGTGTGGTGATAAAGTTTGACTTTAAGTTATGATTATGAATGAAAAATTAAGTCAATGGGACATGACTGAAATCATGTAAATACTACCTCATACCATATAATATTAAATCAGAGATTATTTTTACATAATTATTTTTCAAAATATTTAAGATATAATTAAATCCTTATTTTAGTTTTAAAAATAATCAATATGATAAATATACAGCATCAGTTCAGTTCAGTTCAGTCGCTCAGTCGTGTCCGACTCTGTGCAACTCCATGAATCGCAGCACACCAGGCCTTCCTGTCCATCACCGGCTCCCAGAATCTACCCAAACCCATGCCCATCGAGTCGGTGATGCCATCCAGCCATCTCATCCTCTGTCATCCCCTTCTCCTCCTGCCCGCAACCCCTCCCTGCATCAGGGTCTTTTCCAATGAGTCAACTCTTCGCATGAGATGGCCAAAGTATTGGAGTTTCAGCTTCAGCATCAGTCCTTCCAATGAACACCCAGGACTGATCTCCTTTAGGATGGACTGGTTAGATCTCCTTGCAGTTCAAGGGACTCGAGTCTTCTCCAACATCACAGTTCAAAAGCATCAATTTTTCAGCACTCAGCTTTCTTCACAGTCCAATTCTCACATCCATACATGACCACTGGAAAAACCATAGTCTTCACCAGACAGACCTTTGTTGGCAAAGTAATGTCTCTACTTTTAATATGCTATCTAGGTTGGTCATAACTTTCCTCCCAAGGAGTAAGTGTCTTTTATTTTCATGGCTGCAGTCACCATCTGCAGTGATTTTGGAGCCCCAAAAAAATAAAGTCTGACACTGTTTCCACTGTCTCCCCATCTATTTCCCATGAAGTGATGGGACCAGATGCCATGATCTTAGTTTTCTGAATGTGACATATTTCCCCTTAAATGGTATTAGTTTCTTGGAATAAGCATATTTATATTAAATGTTGAAATATGACTGAGAATTAAAAATAACATCAAAGAAGCCTATTTAAAGACATAAAAAGATAGCCACAATATAGGATAATGTAAAAAACAGCAGATTATGAAAACATATGTCTAATATCATTCCATTTCTGTAAAACAAACAGCCATGGAAAAATGACTCAAGGGAAAATAGCTATGTGACAATAGGGATTATTTTTAGGTGGTGTGATTATGGGTGATATCTGTATCCTTATTTTTGCTTCTCTATATTTTGTGCAAAATAATATACACCCATTTTATGATAAGAAAATTGAAATTTTAAAAAAGGAAATCATACTAAGTTCCTGTAATGATATTTTACAGATTTGAAGAAAGTCTGTTATTACAGCTAACAGTTTTTCCAGTGATTTTCTATAATTTCTATAACATTTCTCTTCTGTTTTATTCCTTGTGACTAAAACTTAAATAATATATTTAGAAACTAGCAATGAATAGATTGAATAAAAACTGCAAGTACCTATGCAAATTCTCAGTCATATTTCAACATGTAAATTTAACACGTAAATAAACATCTTAGTTTGTGTAGCTAATCTCCATCTATTGGATAATAAAATTGTTCAAAATTTTCCACTGTTTATTTAAACACTATTATTTAATGCACTAATGAACATCTTTGAAACCGAACTTCTCTGTTCTCTTTGAATGTCCTTGACAATTTCCTTAGGATACAAATAATACTAGAAGCAATACTGCTGAGTTAAAGGATGTGTTCATTTTTAGTTTCTGATGAATATTGCAAAACTGTCTCCCAGAACAAACTTTACCATTAACTTTGCCTACTTTCCAACCCTTGCCAATACTCAGTGCTATCATTTAAAAATATTCTTATTAATTGAGTACATGAAAACTGGTATCTCATTTTAATTAATAATTCTTTCATTCAATAAACATGATGGAGCATATACTATGTGCTAGGCTTTGTGCTTGGCACTAAAGGTACAATAGTGTACAAGGAGAGAAAGATCTGGTTCTCTGTTTTCATGGAGTTTAGAGTCTAATGATGAAGAGCAATATTAAGTAAAGTGAAAGTGTGAAAATGTTAGTCATTCAGTCATGTTCGGCTCTTTGTGACCCCATGGACTGTAGCCCACCAGGTTCCTCTGTCCATGGAATTCTCCAGGCAAGAATACTGGAGCAAGTAGCCATTCCCTTCTCCAAAGGATTTTCCCAACCCAGGGATCAAACCCAGGTCTCCTGCACTGCAGGCAGATCCTTTACCATCTGAGCCACCAGGAATGCCTGTGATAGTAAGCAACGAATCACATAAATACATGTATAATTAAAACTGTAATAACTACAGATAGAAAGGGTTCTGGGTACACTGAAAGAGTGTAATGGGGAAACTGACCAAGTCAAGAGAAATTGGAGGTTAAGGGCTTCACTAAGGGAGTGATGACTGAGCTGAATTCTGAAAGAAGAGCAGGAGTAAATTAGATGAACAGGAGGTGAGCATTCCTGGCTGAAAAGAGGAAAGTTCAGGGCTAAGCTTTTGGGGATCACATTAAGATTTGGGCTTTTGTTCTAAAAGCAATGGGAAGTCAGTAATGGGTTTAAAGTAAGAAAGTAAAATGATCAATTTTGTTTTCAAAAGAAAGCTCTAGTGGTAAAGCCTAAATGGGGAATGTGGGGAAAGCAATTATAGAGCTACTAGAGTAATCCTAATAAAAGACGGTGGTAGATTATACTGTGGATGTAATGATAAAGATGAAAAGATAAGAACAACCTTTAGAATTTGATAGATTAGACGTTAGAAAGCTTATTCAACTTATATGCAGAATACATCATGCGAAATGCTGGGCTGGATGAAGCATACGCTGGAATCAAGATTACTGGGAGAAATATCAATAACCTCAGATATGCAGATGACACCACACTTATGGCAGAAAGCGAAGAGGAACTAAAGAGCCTCTTGATGAAAATGAAAGAGGAGAGTGAAAATCCTGGCTTAAAACTCAACATTCAAAAAACTAAGATCATGGCATCTAGTCCCATCACTTCATGGCAAATAGATGGGGAAACAATGGAAACAGTAAGAGACCTTATTTTCTTGGGTTCCAAAATCACTGTAGATGGTGACTGCAGCCATGAAATTAAAAGACACTTGCTCCTTGGAAGAAAAGCTATGACCAACCTAGACAGCATATTAAAAAAGAGACATTATTTTGCTGACAAAGGTCTGTCTAGTCAAAGCTATGGTTTTTCCAGTAGTGATGTATGGATGTGAGAGTTGGACTATAAAGAAAGCTGAGTGCCGAAGAATTGCTGCTTTTGAACTGTGGTATTGGTGAAGACTCTTGAGAGTCCCTTGGATTTCAAGGAGATCCAACCAGTCAATCCTAAAGGAAATCAGTCCTGAATATTCATTGGAAAAACTGATGCTGAAGCTGAAATTCCAATACTTTGGCCTCCTGATGTGAAGAACTGACTCACTGGAAAAGACCCTGATGCTGGGAAAGATTGAAGGCAGGAGGAAAAGGGGATGACCGAGGATGAGATGGTTGGATGGCATCACCAACTCGATGGACATGAGTTTGAGAAAGCTCCAGGAGTTGGTGATGGACAGGGAAACCTGGTGTGCTGCAATCCATGGGGTTGCAAAGAGTTGGACACAACTGATCCACTGAGCTGACTGAGATTAATAATGGAAGGCAAGTGAGGTGACGAAAATAAAATGTCTAGATTTCTAGAAAAGTTTTCAGAAGAACAGTGAGTTCAGGTACGTGTGTGTGTGTGTATTGAACTATAAGAAAGTTTAGGGCTTAGGCAAAAATGTTATTGAAAAATAGTATATCATGGAATTTAAACTATTTTAGGAAAAAAGTGAAAGCAAAGGAAAAGCTGATGATCTTGAAGAAAGTAGGGATAGAGATGCTCAATGGACCAGAAATGCAGATAAAGTCAAAGAATGAGGGTAAATTATGTCATGGAGCATACATAAATTAATGATTTTAGAGGTAGAGTACTTATGGATGATCACAAAGTATGATGATGGAAATTGGTGGCTGGAGTAGAGTGGAGAAAATATCATTGGAAATGAGGAGGTCAAGAAACTAAGGAGTTAAGCTGTTGTATCTTCATCTAAGTGAATCTTGAAGTCATGGCCTGGGGTAGAAAAGACAACTAGGAGTCAGATGCCAAAGTGTATCATAAATGAGATGAAGGGGAATAGCCTGAAGAAGCGGAGCGTCTTAAAGAGTGAAGGGATAATGGTTTGTAATCCATAACGGGGAGCATGACCACACCAATTGCTTTTCTGACCTGGTGCTATGGAGGATACAGGAAAAGAAACATTCTCCAAATGAGTTATTCCCTGTAAAGGGGTAGCTCCAAAGGGCTAGGTGAAGGGTTTGAGAGGCTGGGTAACTCTAGACAGCCAAGTCAGAGGCAAGGAGATACACACATGACAGGTGCAGGGTCATGCCTCAGTCTTACATATGGATAATGACTGATGATATTAAGCAAAGGGAAATTGTTTGCCTTAGACTTCTAAGAGAATAAAGACAAAAGATATAATGGATTTAAATTCAGTGGTGTCTGTGATAAGAGTGATCACTGGACCTAGGATACCGAAATTGTGGGTAATCATTAGAACATTTCATCTGTTTCCATTGGGTACATTTTCTCTTTATATTTCTTTTGCAAACTGATGATTCATTCTTTTGCTAATTTCATGTTGGCATATTTCTCCCTATTACCAATCTGAAAGTGTGTCCCTGGCGGCTCAAGTGGTAAAGAATCCACCTGCAATGAGGGAGACATGGGTTCGATCCCTGGGTTGGGAAGATCCCCGGAGAAGGGAAGGGCTATGCACTCCAGTATTCTGGCCTGGAGAATTCCATGGACTGTATAGTCCATGGGGTCGCAAAGAGTCAGACACGACTGAGCGACTTTCACCAGGGGTTCTTTATATAGTCAAAATATTTGCTCTTTTTACAACAAAATAATAAATTTTTACTTTTAATTTTATGGCAGGCTTCCTTTCGAATAAATTTTTTAATGTGTATGTGACAAACTATTAGTTTTTATCTTCATGATTTCTGCTTTTCATGTGATACTTTTTAAATGTAAAATGTAAAATTTCTCCTCCTTTTTACTTTATATGTTTACTTTATATGTTGATATATTTCCTTTATCCTTTCCCAACATTCCAAAAATTCAAGGTTTATAGATAATTCTTGTGATTGTTTTCTTTACACTGTGATTAATTGGGATGAAATTTTACCTGTATCACTGTCATTTGCATTTGGTTTTTAAGGAAATCTGTGATTCTTTTTAAGAGAGAAATGCAAAAGGTATAGGAATAGAATATAATCACTTAAGTTATCTTTGCACTTAGCTTCTAATGTCTTTGCTTAGCAGGCTGATATAGATCATAATGCCAAATATGCAAGTAGCCAATAAAGCTTTATGGAAGCAGAATAAATAACCTATATTCAAATTTCTCTATCTGCAGGAAGACACATAGATTATTAGTTAAGATAAAGGTGACAGAGTTATTCTGCTGTAACAGAAACACAGAAATACAGCAGCTTAAAGGGCATAAGTAATGATTTCTCATTCAGATTGGTCTCCTGAAGTGAGCGTTCCAGGTTGTCAGGGTGGTTGTGCTCCATGAGGCCCAGGGCCCTATTCTGTGTAGTTGAAATCTGGAAGAAGGGGAAGGAAGAAAACAAGATCAAAGGCAAGCAATTTCCCTTTACTTCCCTAACAAGAAGGTGGAAGTTGAGCCTACCACTTCTGTTTATGTTCCATTGATGACAACTGGATCACCTGTTCACACTTAGCTAATAGGAAGGCTGAGAAATGTAATCTGACTACGGTTCTCATGTGTGCAGGAAGAAGGAGAATTTGGGGAATATAACAACCAGTCTACCATTTCTGGGATCTGGTGTGGATCTGTCTATAAAAAAAAAAAAGTGCAGAAGTTGCTGCGAATTTCTCCTGAATAGAATTATTTTAAATTAAATATGTTTACTTACTGTTTTATACTTACTGTACTTTGAAAATTACTTTTCAAAAGCTCTCAAAATAAAAAGGACATGTCTGCATCTAGAGGAAAGATTTAAAGTTCTGAGCACTAATGTAGCCTTTTCCACCCCTAAATTTCTCTTCAGGTATACACTCAATAACAGAAACCTTGGCCGGATTGTCACTATAGCAGAGCCATTCAACACCGAACTGCAACTGTGGCAGGTAGGAAGATAAATTCCTCTATACTTATCAAGGAAGGAACAGAATTAATTTTTTTTTCAAGTAGAAATGATATTTTCTCTATTCAGATGCTAGAAGACAAGGAAAAAGTAATGATTCTTATATATAATTCAATGTACATCTATTTTTTTTAAACTAAAAAAATTTCAAATAACCAAGAAATAAAGTTTAAAAGTTGAGAAAGGTGAGGCCTGGGGAGGCTTAGGCTCATGGTCCATGAGACCATACAGTTTAGTAAGCCATGAGCAGTTCATCTCCCCTTTCCAGATAAGTGTAATCCTGGGATAAGCTGGTCAAGATTTGATTCCTTTCAGAATTCAGAGTTTTGGAATTTCAAAACTAAGCCCAAGTCTTTCAGATTTTGGATACTTCGGTTCCTCTGGGGTGGAGGGGTGAGGGGGTGTTCGTTAACGTTAGACAGAGACTGTATGAATTTTCAGTATCTGTTTAAGATATTGGAGTGTTACATCCTTCTGTGAAACAATTATTTTTGTAAATAGCAGATACTACTATGGTTAAGTTTGGGAGAGGGTTTTGGAGGGAAGAGGGAAAACAAACCAAATTTAACAGAGATTTTTTGATGAGCCCTCAATGAATGAACTGAAAGTATATAAAACAATCTAGACTCTTGCAACAAAAAGCTATGCAAAGCCATCATTCCACAGTACAGATTTTCCAGGAAACACCTTGGGGGAACGTGCAGAAAACTGAGAAACCTACAGAAACAAAGAGAGCATGCCAGCCACCACTGTGCCGCTCTCCTTCCCCAACACATCAGGGCCTCTTTTGCGGGACATGCTGCCAGGCGTCCAAAGTCCAAAGCCAGGGGTCGTGACTACTAATCTGAGAGATGGGCTCAATCTGAATGATGCATCAGAAGATGTACCTTAATGTTGTTCAGTGATACTCAAGTTACAGGGAAGAAGGAAACAAATCCAGAATGTAAACAAAATCCCTGAAGAATAATTGGACTTAAAATTACTTTCTTAATTATTGCCTTCTCTTTTATAGATCAAGAGCTTTTTTGAAAGATATCCTGAAGCTGGAGCGGGACAAAAACCTAGGGAGCAAGTACTGGAAACAGTGGAAAACAATATCGAGTGGCTAAAACAAAACAGGGACACCATAAGAAACTGGTTTCTTGATTTGAATGGTTAATGTGTCCAAATATCATATTTTAATTTTGTGACTCTATTGTTTCTCCTGTTAAATATTTGGTGGCCTAACTTACAAGCACTATGGAAGGAGTTTTATATATAGATACTACTTTCACTAAGTACTGTGTTTATATGTCTTGCAAAGCTTTTAAATTGTTCCTTTTTGTTTATGAAGGAAGATACTAATAGAGTAGTTAATGTACTCAGGGATTTCTTCTAAGCATACTTAGTAGGAGATTCTTTACAAACTGAAGATAATTTAATAGCCATTTTAAGGTCTTTAAATATCATTCTTTGTATCTTAAATCTGTGAAAATAGAACAATTTGGTCTTAGCTTTACATTTTTAGTACCAAAGAAACACCACTTAATCTTATCTCTTGAATGATTTTTAAAGTTTAAATACCAGTACTTGAGGGACCAATATTACCATCTTAATCTTTATTTTATTATTCAGAATTACACAGATCCAGCATCATTGTATTCACATATGTTTTTACTCTTTTAAATCCTATCAAAGTAACCTGGGCTTAAATTTTACTCAAGAATTGCATGAATTAGCCAAAGAAATACCTGACTCTTACCTTTGGTCTTATAAAATCAACAAAAGAATTCTCCTCTCCTTTTTAAAATAAATCTGAATGGTTACCTTGAAAAAATACATTGTTTTCCAGTGTTCCTTTACTCTCGAAAAATAATGACTGTGACTATAGCATTCCCCAAATACTTTAGCAGTAGGCAATAAGATTCAAGAACCCAGTCTTTTTCATGCTTAGTTTTCTGTCATCTTGCTCCATTCCCTACAAAGTTCCTTCAAATAAGCTATGAAATTAAGGGGAAGATAGTGCTTAAATACTACATGGATTTTAGAGGAAAAGGGCTAAATAATTGGAAACTTATTAGAAAAGAGAGAAGGGTGATCATTCCATAAAACTAAATGGAATTAGAATTTAGCTTTGATCTAACCTAGCAATCTTTAACTGTGAAAATAAGGAAACCCATGGATGTTTCCAACATGACTCTGCATATATGAGGATATATCTTCTTAGATATAACTTTAATGTGAAAACCTTTATGTCCTAATCCATACAGAATCAGTTCCATTCACTTCAGTCACTCAGTCATGTCCGACTCTTTGTGACCCCATGGACAGGAGCATGCCAGGCCTTCTTGTTCATCACCGATTCATACAGAATAGCACTAATCAAATTTATATTCATGATTTGACTAAAGATCAATTTTGTAGGAGCTGGTGGCAAGAACATGTTTAATATGGCACTTGATGCCTAGTAGATCCACAACACAAGTCCAGTAGACAGAAAAGATAGTAAATTAGTATGTTCCAATCTGCTGTATCTAGAAAATCTGAATTTATTTGGAACCTTCAGAAGTATAATTTAAGATTGGTTTGATGATAATTGAAACACATGGAAACAATCAAAACCCTACCTTTTACTTTACATAAAAAATGTTCCCTAATCAAGGACTCTCAAACTTTGTAAATTTTCCTATTGCTGTGTCTTAATTTTTACTTCTCAATCCACATAGCTAAACTGTCAAAGTCAAATGTGGACTGGGGGGAGGAGGAAGGAGACAAAAAAAGAAGATATTTTCAGACTAAAACTTTTAAAATATTGTTTTAAATTACTTCAGAAGAAAAAAACATTAACATCATAAATCATCAGGAAAAAAAAAAAAAATCCCACTATCCTCATGGGGATTAACACCCTAACTTTATATTGGCCATAATCAAAACCAGCACTTCAAGTCTATGTATTGTTTCAACTGGATAAATAAGGAAGTGGGATGTTTTATCCTTCTGCTTTATGCAATAAATTCTTAAAAGAAAAAAGTTTGAAGGAGATGGTGCATGAAACAGATTCCCAACTTGCCTATAAGCACTAAACCTGAGAATGAATTGCTTAGTTCTCTTCACCCCATACGAAAAAGAACTGCACACTGTGTTTATAATTCCATTAGCCAATCAAGCCCTTCACAAACAATATCTGGTTTTTAAAGGATGATGACCAATAGATAGATCTATGCCAAGAAGAGTTTGCTACTGTGCTTTTTTGGTTGTGTCATGATTTTTACAGGGAAAAATTTTAGTATGTTGTATCCAAAATTAAACCACAATAAACCATCAACTTTAAAGAATTAACAGGAAGAAATGATCAGCAAAGTCATGTAGCAAGAAGCAGGGCCAGTAATAATTATTGCCTCCTTCTAGGCAGTTTATTCCCATATTGCAGATCACTGCTATGCACCCACACAAGTATAAACTAGGAGCTTATATAATAAACTATGAACATATAAGTGACAGGCAGGGAAGTTCTGGGGAGCAGAGATATACAGGTAGGTTGAAGGCAGTGGTACTCCTACAGTTTACCCTCCACATAGATAAAGTGTTATTCCAAAAATAGATAAATATAAGGTGGGAAGAGAAATCTAGAATGGTAATTCTCAAAGGGAGAATAAGCAGGGAACAGAAGAAGAGTAGAATAACCAATGAAACTTCCAAAACTGCTAAATAATACTAGTAGTGACAGTAACAATAATAACAAATTCCTTTCTAATACCAAGCCCTATTCTAAACACAAGCACTCCACATACATCAATCTCTATATGTGAACTTTAGAAAAACCCATGAGATAGATACTGTTAATGTCCTCATTTTACAGATGGAGAAATAGAGAAGTCACACAACGTGCCCAAGGCCAAAAAGTTAGTGTATGGCATGAGCCAGGACTTGGACTTAGTTTATCACCAGAATCTATGTACTTAACCACATACTAAAGTAGAAACGAGTGTTTTAAAGTTAGTCACCTTAATTTGAGTTTCAACTACTTGCCTTTAATCTCCCTATTGTTCAGTTTCCTCATATATAAAGTGAGGACAAAAATAATCACCACATCACTGGGTTGTTGTGAGGATTAAATGCAAAAACACAGGTAAAGGATGCATTGTATGGAAAATGATAATCACTCAATTAACATTAGATGCTATTATTGTTGCTATTGTGATATCTCCTAGTCTTCACTTAAGACACCAGTTTGGCGAATAAAATAAAGTTGGGTTCAGGAATAACACCCTAAGCAACTGAAGGCACGAAGGAAAGGCAATGTGTCAAACTGTGTTATTGCTCAGTAGCAGTCACTGTCCATCCCTGAAGAGAATTCCACCATCTCACCCCACTGTGAGATAGTTCAGCACAGGCATGTGACTTACTTCGGCTGGTGAAATATTGGCAAGACTGATGTGTGTCAATCTCAGGCAGAAATGTCCAGAGTCAGCAATGGTTTGCCACATTTTCCATTTTCCTTCTGCCACTAGATCCAGCAATGTTCCAGATAGGGGCTGTTCTATTTGCCTGAATTTCAGGAGGAAAACAATAAAACCAAAAATCAGTTATTTGAAAAGAACAACAAAACTGACAAACCGTTAGCTAGTATGATCAAGAAAAAAGTGAGAAGACTTAAATTACTGAAATAAGGAAGGAAAGAGGAGGCATCACTATCAAATTTACAGAGATAAGGATTAAAGAGATGCATGAATGCATAGCCATACACCAACAAATCAGATAACTTAGATTAAATGAACAAATTCCTAGAAAAACACAAACTATCAAACTGACTCAAGGAGAAACAGACAATTTAAACAGACCTGTAACAACAGAGATTGATTTAGTAATTAAAAACAAAAACTTGCCACAAAGAAAAGCCCAGGACCAGATGGTTTACTTCATGAATTTTACCAAATATTTAAGGAAAAATTAGCACCAATCCTTCACAACTTTGCAAAAAATAGACAAGGAGGGAACACTTCTCAATTCTATGAGGTAATTAACACAATGATACCAAAACCAGGCAAAGACATCACAAGAAAAAAATCCCCCAAACTACAGATCAACATCCTTTTTTAATATATGCACAAAGGCTCTCAACAAAATACTAACAAACCAAATCTAGCAACAAAGAAAAATGATTAAAGACCATGACCAAGTGCCAACTGGAATTTATCCAAGAATGTAAGATTGTTTTGACACACGAAAATCAATGTGATGTACTATATTGATGGAATAAGGACAAAAACCACATGATCATTCCCATGGTGCAGAAGAAACATTTGAAAAAATCCAGTACCCTTTCATGATAAGACATTCAACAAGCTAGGACTAGAAGGGAACTCCTTCAACCTGAAAAACAGCACCTATGAAACACCAGCAGCTAACATCACACGTACAGCTGAAAAGACTGAATGCTTTGCCCTTAAGATCAGTAACAAGACAAGGATGTGCCTGCTTGCAACTTTACTTAACACTGGAGTGGAACTCTTGCAAAGGAAATTAGGAAAGGAGAGGAAATAAAAGACACCCAGAGCTTCCCTGGTGGCTCAGTGGTAAAGAATCCACCTGTCACTGCAGGATTCATGAATTCCATCCCTGATTCAGGAAGATCTCACATGCTATGGAGCAACTAAGCCAGAGGGCCACAACTATTGAGCCTGTGCTCTAGAACTTGGGAGCTGCAACTACTGAAGCCGGTGAGCACCAGAGCCCATGCTCCTCAACAGGAGAAGCCAGGCAATGAGAAGCCTGCTCACCACACCTGGAGAGTAGCCCCTGCTCGCTGCAACTAAAGAAAGTCCACGCAGCAATGAAGATCCAGCATAGCCAAAAATAAATAAATTTTAAAAATTATTTTTAAAAAGATATCCAAATTAGAAAAAAGAAAATGATCTTTATTATCAAATGACATAATCTTGCACATAGAATATCCTAAAGAATACATGCACATACACACACACGGATGATTACCACTAAATGAATTCAGCAAAGTTGCAGGATACAAATTAATTGCATTTCAATACCCTAGCAATGAAAAGTAAGAAAATAAAATTAGTTACATTCCAAGACCATCTAAAAGGATAACATACTAAGCAACAAATTTAACAAAAGAAGTCCAAGACTTGTAGACTTAAAACTAGGAAATATTGTTTAAAA